GTGTGTATCTTTAGTAATAGAAAACCCATAGAGAAAATATGTCAGTGGAGGAATATATGGTCTTAGACAGTCTGTCTTTCTTTCTAATTTGAGATCTAGATTGAAACCATTTTTCTTAAAAATACCAATATGGTTTTTCATGAAAGTTGGTAAGATGATTCTAATATTTATTTAGAAAGGCAAGGTTCCAAGGACAACCCACTCTAGAACAAAAGGAGTTGAAGTATTAAGTCTCATTATAAAGAAATAATCATTAGGAGAGTGGATTGTTAGTGTCAGAGTCTAAAGGTGTTGTGGGACACACTTTTACACCTTTAATCCTAGTACTTGAGGCAGAAACAGTCAGAGTTCGAGGCCAGCCTTGTCAACTGATTGGGTTCCAAGGTAGTTAGGGCTATGTAGAGACAACCTATCTTAAAAAAAAAAAAGATAGTGGCTTGTTAGGATAGGGCAGGAAGAAAGCAATCTCATAGGAATGTCAGAGTCCAATATGGAAGCAAGCATTTGCAAACTTGACAAACGATGAAAGTGACGTCATAAGAAAGTAGGGAACTTTAGACTATCCAACCAACATCCACAATGAAAATAAATAACCGGAGCCCCGTACCACATCATGTACAAAGATCCATCCATTCTGTACTGATTAAGAGCTCAAAGACGAAAGGCAGAGCTTAAGTCTTTAGGAAAACATGAAGTGGGCTGGAGAGACGGCTCAGCCGTGAAAGGCTAGGCTCATAGCCAAAAATATAAGAAAAATGCGAAGCCTCTTTAAGATATAAGTAAGAATTTTTTTCTTAAAAATAATGATTTTATTCCTTGGGAATTAATGTATTTCTATCATATTCACCCTAACTCCTCCCATATCCACTCTCTCCACCCTCACCTCCCTACCCACCCAATTTTGTGTTTTTTTTTTCTTTTCTCCACCCATTGAGGTTGGCTTGCGCTGCCCAACTGTTCTTGGATGCCCAAACCTCAAGTTGGCAGCTTGACAGGTATTCAGTCTTGCCAAAACCAGCCCCCCTTATTTATCTCTTAGCACATTATGCGCATATGTTACTATTTTTACATTTCATACACAAGGACATGGTCTGAGAAGTGGACAGGCGAGCATCTGAGCACAGCGAGAAGACATGCAAGGAGCCAGTTTCTGGGGCAGTAGTGTCAGAGATCTTTGGTCTAGTTGGTCTAGTTGGCCTCATAGTGATGAGGGGTCATGCTGAACTCATGGCCCTGCTCCTTCTCTGCTTGCCAGGGCCGTGGTTCTGGTGTGATGCCGAAAGGTAAGGAAGAGGAGAGGAGGGCAAAAAGGGACCTAAGGCAAGGGGACCTAAGGCAAGGGGACCTAAGGCAAGGCAAGGCAGAGGAGGAGAGCTGGCACCCAAGGCAAGGAGAAGGCGGCGGCGGAGAGATGGCAGCAGGCATGCCAGCAGAGCCAGTAGATCCCCAACAGAGCCTTCATTCATCCTGACTGTCCATTTTTCCCCACAGAAAAGGGCCATTCATTAGCTTACAGTAGCTCCTGGAATGCAGCTGGGGAGCTCAGTCCAGGGGACCAGCCCTCCTTTCCCCATGACGCCAATCACAGCCTAAAAATAACCTTCACCATTCCCCCAGTCCTCCTGAGCCAGGCTTTCCAGGGACTCCCTCTCCCATGTTGACTCAGTTTGGGACAGGGCGTGTATTTCTGGGAAAATATTCCTAGCCTGAATTACCTTTTTCTTCCGAGTCAGACAAGCTGCAAGCAGTGATCTCAGTAAAAAGCTGAGATGCTACACAATTTGAGCACCTGATTCAAAACTGCATTCAGCCAAAGGCCAGGTCCTAATGTCCAAACACAAGCAGTTGTGTGGGGTTTGCGGGGTGCGAGTTAGGCCCGCCTGCTAGTTGCCCTTGACAGTCGCTTGTCTTGGGCAGATATATTAGTGCTGGGAATAAAAACTGATCAAGATGGAGGAGTTCAAACAGTGAGCGAAAACGCGAGAGGAAACGCTCACACTTCGTCAGCGCATGAGCAGATGAACTTAATATAAATGTTACCGACTCTGAGTTAATGAAAGGCAGTGTGGTGGCCAATAGGAAGGTCACTCAGGGTCCCTCCAAGTCCAGACGCACCCTTGGGACTTAGTACGAAAGTCTGTCATCGCCTCCCTGCTCCCCACAATCTTAGTAATTGGCTTTATTCATCATTTCCGTCCCCAGTTACCCCATTCTTACCAGAGAAATTTCTAGTTTTTCAGGCAAGGTTATAGACACATATAGACTGTTGCAGTAATTCTTCCTACACTCAAACCTTAGAGCCAGTCTGCCCTCAAGACAGCAATTATGGTTATTATTTTTGAAATGAGAATGAGACAGCCTGAATTCTCCCTACTCCCCATCGTTCTGGCTTGCTCTTCAGGAAGGCTCCCCGATTAGCCCAGCTGCTTCCCTGTAGACCTGTAACTTATGCCCTGAATGTCTTTTTGTCCAGTTGATTTTATCAAAAAAAAAAAAAAAAAAAAAACCGTCGCTTTGGCCATACTCTTTCTTCAGAGCATACCATAGCTCCCCACTGCTCCCTCTACACAGAATTTTGCTTGGATGACTCTTCTGTTTCCACAGTCGCCATGTGCCCTCTGTTCTAGTCAGACAGGGCTCTGTCCTCTGCATCTTTGCTAACATTGTTCCTTTTCTTGGGTTCTGTGTCTGATTGCTTGCTTATCCGTGCTAGATTCTGGCCACCTTATCATAATTAGGCTTTACTACTCGACTCCGTGTTTCTTTTGTGGTTTATAGTACAGGACGGTGTCTCAGGCATAGGTCCTAACTGGACCACACCCAGGCTAGCGAGTAGTAGATGACCCCGAACAGTAAGATGTTGCTTCCGAGAGTCCCAGAACTCCGACATCCCATCTTAAACGTGCAGGAAGATGGGAAGCCAGTGGGTGTGGACATGTGGACTCACTTCAAAGCGAATTTGGACCTGACTCCATAGCTACCAGTCATGTGCCTTTATTAAGTGCCAAACTTACATGAATTCATTCTCAATCTATCATACGGTTTTAGAAATTTAGTTTCCCAAAGAAAGCTTTCTGGGGTCAGGCTTCCCCTTTCTGCAGCCTTTTTTACTTATTCAGGTACAGCTGGGGTGCAGTTTCAAAGTAGGGAACGTCAGTTGACTGACAGCCCTTTGTCCTTATCCTCATAGGCTGAGCAAGGTTTCCCTCCAAAAAGGATGTGCTCCTAGACGCCAGTTCAAGCTCTAGGGATAAATCCTGGTCCCACTGTCAGTGGCCCCACAGACTGCCCAACCCTCACAACTGTCCCCACATTCAGTGGGCCTAATCTGGTCCTATGCAGGCTCGCCCGCTCTCAGTCCAGAGGCAGTGAGCTCTCACGAATATGTTAGTTCTGAAATCCCAGGCTCTGCTAATGTTTCCCTTCTTCTTGAGAATACTCTGAGGGGATTTTAAAATGATGCTTTAGACTTATATTGACATGATAGATCTGGGAATTCACGTCAAGAGTGCTGTTATAGCATGATTTGTCCTTTCCTTTGCCCAATCCTCTTCTGCTTCCTTCGGGGATGTTTGCGAGGTTTTTCTTTCCATCTAGGGAAGGAAGACAAATATCACATATCACTCCTGCACACCGAATCCAGATTCATAGATACAGATATGGATTGGAGAAGACAGCAGAGGGGGAGCATTTAGAGCAGTGGGGAGTGGGGGCGGGGGTTTCTATGATAAGTGGAGTTCTCCCCACACGTCTATCTTTTGACTGATTCTGTAGCATACTAAATATTCTTATTGTTCAGGTAGCTTTTATGTTGCTTTTCTTGAGTTTTCTGACATATCATCATAGATCTTGTGAATAGTGATTTTTAATTTTTTTTTTATTAAAATCTAATTACAACATTTCTTTCCCCTTCAATCCCCCCCCAGGGTGAATATTGGTGTTTTAATTTTCTTCTCAACTTTTTCATCTCCACTTTTCTTGACTTCTTCTAGGCAGTTCAGTTCTTGGAATGTCTATTAGTGGCACATGCGTGTCTCTGTGGTGACAGACTTGGGAGAGGTTCCATCAGAAGCACGGGTATGTCTAGAGGAACAAGGCGGAGACCTTGGCATCTGCCTGGTAAAATCCACTGTTGCTAGAAATGTCCACTGTGGGCTGAGTCGGCCCAGCAGGTACAGGTGGCGGGAATGGATAGTGGGAAGTTCTGGAGAAGAGCTCAAAGAAGGAGTCAAGGTTGGAGCTATGCTTGACCCGATTCTAGATGCCTTGGATGTGAACTTGGGAAAATATGGATGTGGTATATGTTTGCATGTGTATATGTGTGCATTTGTATGTGTACATGTGTATATGTGTGCATGTGTATGTGTGCATGTCTATATGTGTGCATGTGTGTATGTGTGCATGTGTATATGTACACGTGTATATGTGTGCATGTGTATGTGTACACGTGTATATGTGTATGTATACATGTGTATGTGTGTATATGTGCATGTGTGTATGTGTGCATGTGTACTTTCCTTTAGGTATGCATAGAAAAAGTAGGCTTTGATGCCCTCTAACATTTGAAGCTTGGGTTCTGACCCTCTTCCATGGCATATACCATGCCTCGGTATAGTTCTAGGGAAAAGAGCCTTTGCATGGGCCACAGCTGTAGCTGCACTGCCTTTATTTCTGCAGGATGGAGTTTCCACCACTCTGTTGGGTGACTTGTAGATATATCTTTCCTAGTGCTCTGGTATTGGAGGCATGTTGCTTAGACACAGAGACACATGGGTTGAGCCTGGGTCTTAGGGAAGACGGAACAGTGCACACAGCTTCGTCTGCAAACTTCCAACCTGAGGAACTCCAGAGTTGAGCTCATCAGCCTTACCCACTCCTAATAGGTGGTCACAGTGGACACTACGAAGAGCCCCTTGGTGGCAGCCACACTGTCTAATGTTTACTATGTGTGTGCATATGTCAGGGAGGAGAGAGAAAATATTACTACTGAATGCTGAGTCTCAAGGACAAAGAACAGCTTTACAAAAAGATGTTTGTAAAATAGCAAAGAGAAAGGGGCAAGAGGCTGCTGAAATCAAAGACATTTACATTGAGACAGATTGAGAAGATGAACACTGCCATTGGTTGTCTTGGCCTCATATTGGTTCAGGAGATGGCCCGGAGTTTGGTCAGGACCTTGAAGTCCCTTATTCAAGTCTCATGGTGGAACCAGTAAGTCATAGCCGACTCACAGATTCAAGGCTAGTTGGATTTGCTGAGTCTCAAAGAGTAAGTGGGAGGGAGTGAGACAAGATGCAACATCCTAAGATCACAGTCTTGCTGAGGATTTTGACTGACCTGGAGAGCCAACCCTGGAGGGGAGAGATAATGACCTAATATCAGCAAGACTGTCCCAAAGAACACAAGCCATCCCCCCAAATTAAAACTTCACATGTTGGAGTCACTACCTTTTAAAAAATAATGCTTTTAGTTAACATATTAAATAACACACTTCATTATGACATTTTATCCGTGCATACCAATATGGTTTGCTCATCATGATGACCCCATTGCCTGCTATCCCAGCTCCTGCTGGGTCCCTTCCTACCCCTAGTCTCTTCTGCTTTCATGTCATGGCTATATCTATAAATCTAGATTCCATGATTGGGAGTGAACATATTAGTAGCTATCTTTCTTTCCCCAGCTCCATTACCGTCCCTTTTCCCTTGCTGCCTTTTAGACCATTTCTCCCCGCTTCATAGTCCTTCTATTTTTGAGTCATTCAAATCTATATACACAGATTTATATTACATATAGCTGTATTATCTATATTACATGAATGCTGTTTAGATTAATACAAAAGTACAGTATTTGTCTTCCCAAGTCGGGCTTATTTCATTCAAAACTGTGACCTCCGAATCTACATTTATGGCTACAAGAAACTCCACTATGTGTATGCACCAGATTTATTGCCCCTGTTGATGGGTCGCTACGTTGGTTCCATGTCTCAGCGAGTGTGAATCACAATCCTTCACCGAGTGAACCCAGAGATGGTGTGTTAACTTCAGGACTTAGGGTCCTTGGGATTCTGACTCACAGCTAGCAGGGAGCTTGTGTATCTAGTGGCCATGTAGTGAGCTCAGGAAGGACAGCTCTTGACCTTGCATAAGCAATCCTGAGGTTTTTTTTATTTTTATTTTTGAGACAGGGTTTCTTCGTAGCTTTTTTGGTTCCGGTCCTGGAACTAGTTCTTGTAGACCAGGTTGGCCTCGAACTCACAGAGATCCGCCTGCCTCTGCCTCCCGAGTGCTGGGATTAAAGGTGTGTGCCACCACCGCCCGGCCAATCCTGAGATTTTTAAAATACATTTTGAGAAGGAAGGTTCTAGAAATCGGAGTAGCCTGGATGGCTGAGGGCTTTGAGATGAAGGAGAAACATGACTTTCTTTTGTATCAGCCCCTTTCCGTCAGCACGTGGAATATTCCATGGCTATTTCTTGCTCTTTAAATGAGGTAGGGTGGTCTTCATGGCCATGGATTTCTTCCTTTTCAGCGTTCATTTTGCCATGAGAAACAGGCGACCTCGTAGGCCCTGCAACGTGCAGTAGTAATCTCTGGTTTGACAATACTCTTATTTCTCCTGGGGGAAGCACAGTTGCTAAGCCACCGAAATTGGCCAGAAGCTGTGCCGGTAGCTGCCCTCTCAGGCAGCAGATATGTGAGCCCTAGTTCTTAGCCTTGATGTGGTAGCCAGCATGCGAGAATGAAAAGAACCAGAAGCCTCAGTCCAGAGCCTTCCACTCTGGCCCCGTGTCAGAACAAGAAATGCTCCTGGAGCCTTTGCAGATCCCAGTTGCTCCGGCTGCTTCCCCAGAATCTCGGTGCAATGAGTCTGGTCTGGGCCAGCGAGTGAGTCATGTTCAGCTAGCCGTAGTAGCCACTGATCGAGGTGGCCCTTGGCACAGTCGCTACACAGCTGTGTGACCATTGGCAAACTGCTCTCCCTTCCCTGGGTTGCAGTTTTGACAATGACTTGGGCTGGAGGGATAGAAATTGGCTATAAAGCAACATCTCCCAGGGAGTGTTAGAGACACAGACAGATTGCCGGGGCCAGAGAGATGGCTCAGTGGTTAAGGTCAGTGGCTGCTCTTCCAGAGGACCAGGGTTTGGGTACCAGTACCCACATGGGTAGCTTACAACCATCTTCAACCTTTAGTTTCAGACACACATGCATGCAAAACACCCACATATATAAGACAAAACAAATATCTTTAAAGAAAGAGATACAGAATATACAGTCCCATGCCAGAACTCTTGAACAGTAATCTCTGGGACCCAGGCTTGGAGACCTGAAGTTTTAGGAAGTTTCTGGTTGGTCCAGATGTAGCTGCTCACTGGTCAGGACCACTTGGTGTCAGTGACGGCCACCATTCCTGGCCCAATTTTTTCGAGGCAGAGCCTTTCTACATAGCCTTGGCTGTCCTGGAATTCACTATGTAGACTGGGCTGGCTTCAGATTCATCCAAAGATCTGCTTGCCCCGCCTCCCAAGTGCCGGATTTAAGGCAGGTGTCACCATGTCCAACTATTTGTTTAGTTTCTATTCTATGTGTGCCCATGCCATGGCAAGTATGTAGAGATAAGAGGGAAGCTGGTGGGAGTCATCTCTCTCTTTCCACTATCTGTGTCTAGGGGATTGAACTTAGGTCTTCAGACTTTGCAGCAAGCTCTCTGACCCACTGAGCCATCGCATGGTCTTCCTGAATGTATCTGATCCATGGTTGGTTCGATCTATGGCTGTGGAATCCAAGAACACAAAGGGCCAACAGTATATTTGTAGCCCCGGCAGCAGGAATTTCACAGCCATGGTGAGCATCTGCACAGTGTTTTCTAAGAAGCCACCTGACCTTTCATTTTACAAAGGGGACAGTGAGGGTCTTCAGTGGCAATGACTTGCCCAGAGATAGCATAAAACTGAGGATTCAAAGTGTACTGCTACTCTTCACTGGCATTTGGCATGTTCACAGTTTTGTGCAACTTTCAGCTCTTAGGCATTTTAATCATCTCCAAGGAAACCCTATGCCCATTCTGTCACAGTGGATTTACCTATTCTGAACATTTAATACAAATAGAATTGCTGAGTAGGGAACCTTTTGTGTCTGGCTTCTTTCACTTAGCAGAGTGTTTGTGAGGCTAACCTGTATTGTGGTACATATTAGCACAACAGTCACTTTGATGGCTAAATAATATTCCACTGAATAGATGTACCACATTTAAAAAATCCATTCGCCTGTTGCTGGGCACTTGGCTTGTTCTTAATGGTTGATCATTTTGACTAGCAGTACTATAAACATTTGTGCTTAAGAATTTAAACACTAGTTTCTCTGTCTGTGTGTGTGTGTGTGTTGTATGCACTAAGTGTAGGTGTGTGCACCTGTGCACATATGCAGAGGCCAGGGGAGAACATCAGGTGTCCTGCTCTAGCTCTCTGAGCCTCATTTCTTTGAAACAAGGTCTTTCACTAAACCTGGAGCTAGGCTGGTGGCCAGTGAGCCTCAGGGTCCTCCTGTCTCCGCTCTTCGTAGTGCTGGGATAGTGCACATGGTGCTTCATGGTGCACATGGAAGAGGTGGCTTTTCACACGGCAGGGGATTTGAACTCAGGTCTTTGTGATTGTTCAGCAAATGCTCTTTATCTGCTGAGCCATCTCTCTGACCTCCTAAATAATGGTTTCTAATTAATTTGTCTAAGTAAGGGTTCAGCTGCCAAATCAAATATCGATTATATGTTTAGCTTTTTTAGGGTCCCTTATAGCACTTTTGAGTGGACTGGATCCCCTATGGCGCTGAGGAGTGGGCCCGTCTTCTGTGGGCCCAATGCAGGCAACAGAGTTGACATGAACTGGTTGGATCAGATCCAGAGAACAACATTTCACAGCCTTCACTCCTCATCTGACTCTTACATACTTTTCATTCCCGCTTCTGGAATGTTCACTGAGCCTTGAGGAGCAGCATACGGGACTTTTTAAGGCTGGGCCCACAACTGTCACTTAATCTCTGCATTTTGGGCTGGAGCACAGTTCTTAGAAAATCTTCCAGCAAAACCTTCATTTCCTCTCACCTGGTCCAGGAAGGGCTTACCACACAACACACGGCTCTAGCCCATATTTCCGTGCTCCTTCTTGTGTGTGTGTGTGTGTTTTAATTATTATTAGTTGTATTTAATGCTCTACCATATCCGGCCTTATTTGTGTTTCCTCGAAAGCACGCGGGGTTTTCCCACTTCTGCACCTTGGCTCTCTATTCTTGGGGTTGCTTTTGGCAGCTCGTACCTTCAGATTGAAGTGACAGTGGCTGAGACATGACAAGCATTCACACGAGGAGACAGGAGACGTCTGGGGCAGACTGGGCTGTCGCAGCCTCTCAACTGTGTCTGTGGGTGCTTCCCGCATCTCAGCAGACTGGGTCACTGCAGTATAGCTGCATAGAGTCTGTTGAGCAGCGAACATCGTGCCCTTGCTCAAGTTAGGAGGAACTCAAAGGCGTGACCAGCAGTGAACTTCCCTTCTTTCACCCTATAAAAACCCTTTCAGAAGTCCTTCTCTTGGATGGCAGCAATAACATTGTATTCCATAGCCTTAGCCTCACCCCCATGGGAGGGTGGAGCCTGTGTGTTCTGCTAGAAAAGGAGAGAGGAGCGAGGTGGGACTTTGTGGCGAGCAAGGCCACCATCTGTATCTACGCTGCTGTCCTCTTCTTCTCGACCACGAAGTTCCATTTTCTTGTTTACACGCAAGGACACCTTTCCCGGCTCATATGCACATATTCTTATTTTAGCTTCAACCCAAACACACTCTCTCAGAGATGACAGTGAGCTCTTGCTTTTGTATCCATCTTCTCTTCCCTCCTGGATTAGAAGCTTCTCAAGAGCAGAGACCATGTCTAGTTTCTCCTCGAGCACCCAGAAGTGGTCCTTCAGACAAACTCAGCAGGAAGTCACAGCAACTGGAACTAAACACTGTACTTTTCTGCTGCCCGCTAAAAACTCTATGCATGGTTTTCTTCACAGATGTTTCAGAAATACAGACACTACACCCGACACCTGAGTGTCTTAACCATTTGCAAAGGACGTGACGGCAGCCCTAAGCCCTCAGCATTCTTCCAGGCCTGCCCTCTGAGCACACAATGTTCCCCTGAAGTCATGGCTGTCATAATGCTTTTGCCGTCATCGATGGGTCTTTCTTTTCACTCAGTAATAAGCCATGTTGGAAGCTCTGTACTCTTTCTTAGAGAAGGTCAGTTTCTTTTTTTTTTTTTTTTTTAATTTTTTTCGAGACAGGGTTTTTCTGTAGCTTTTTGGTTCCTCTCCTGGAAC